ACATTTATTTATAAAATATAAATTAAGAATTTTTTTAATAAATATGTATTATGCGTTGGAAAAATTATATGTGTATATTTTAAATTAATATTTGTAATATAATTAATACATTAAATTAATTCATGAATACATTTGTTTATAAATTTTTATAAATACATTTTTTAATTAATTTGAAATACTGTACATATTTTATTTAATTAATTATTTAATATAAGATAAAAACACCTTTAATGTTCATGTTCTTTTCATGAAAATTTGCTTATAAATTGTGACCCTGGAGTACAAAAGCAGTCTTAAGTCGCTGGGGGATATTTGTAGCTATAGCCAAAAAACCTTTGTATGGGTCAAAATTATCGATTTTTCTTTTATGCCAAAAATCATTAGGATATTAAGTAAAGATCATGTTCCAAGAAGATATTTTGTAAATGTCCTACCGTAAATATATCAAAACTTAATTTTTGATAAGTAATATGCATTGCTAAGAATTTAATTTGGACAACTTTAAAGGTGATTTTCTCAATATTTAGATTTTTTTGCACCCTCAGATTCCAGATTTTCAAACAGTTGTATCTCGGCCAAATATTGTTCTATCCTAACAAACCATACATCAATGGAAAGCTTATTTATTCAGTTTCAATTTTAAAAAATTGACCCTTATGACTGGTTTTGTGGTCCATGGTCACAATTGTGCTTGTGCTCATTTGCTTTAAAATAAATTTGATAATGAATTAAAATAAAATTGTTTGCTATTTTATTATCTAATACAATGAGATTCAGACATTCCAAGTGTGTCTGAAGTATAAAAATACCTTCTGTCACGGTAGCAATGTACCACCTGATACCTTCAACAGAAGTGAATTTTGAGAAGACACTTGTGTGTTCATGTATTTTAGAGAATTCATACGAGGTTCATGTGTTCACTGGGGATATGCTGGGGGCCGGAACCGATGCAAGTGTTTACATCAACATCTATGGAGAAATGGGCGACACGGGCGAGAGAAAACTACGCAAGTCAAACCACCTTAACAAGTTTGAGCGCGGACAGGTGAGTGGAACAAAACACCCACACAATCACACTGTATAGAGAATGTACCCGACTGCAGATCATTTTCAGGAGGATGTGTTCACGATCACTGGGATGGATCTGGGGCCCTTGAAGAAACTGAGGATGCGTCATGACAACAAGCAGGCGAATGTTGCATGGTATCTGGACCGCGTCGAGATCTTTGATGTGAAAGATGAAACCATGTGAGTGTCATGCACGTAATGTACTTCTCATTTAAGTACCACCTTTGTGTCCCTTAACATTTCTCAGGAGGAATAAAAATAGAAGCAAATGCGTAAATTGTTGATGTACAGTAAGAGTTGAGAGCTATACAATTAATATGGTTTGCAGTTTTGCAGCTTTAATATTGGGAATGCTAGATGAGAAATGTTTGAGTTCATATTTAGATCTCTGACTTTTGATTGCAGAAATTGCTTAAATATTTATTTTAAATAAATACATTTTAAGGAAATAGATCATTTATTGAGTATAATTTCAGACATTTCTTGAAATCATCAAGAGGAGACGTAGGGCTACTGAGACGTTATTTTAGTATCATTAATGTACTATTATATTATAGTTTTTGTTAATATTTTGAATTAGGCTTTTTTATATTTAATATTTAATTTTATTTAAATTTTAGTAATGTATTTTATTAGTTTTTCCCCACTAAATATCACCATATGGTTTTTATTAAGTTTTAGCTTTTAGTTTAAGTTTTAATTATTAAAAAAAAAACTAAATGAAAATGAGAAATGTTGCCCTTGCTGAAATATATATATATATTTACATTTTCTTTTATTACAGTTAATATTTATTCTATTTCAAGTATTGAAAATGTTTTTTTAATGGGTTTAATTTTAGTTTCAGTTTTTAGTTCCTCAGATGAAAAATGTGATAATGCGCAATGATATTATGCAGCGCCTGAAAATAGTCCCCAGCACGCTCCCTGTGAAAGCAGGTGGTGACGTTGGTTATGTTGATGGAAGTTAGCCTATTTTCAGGTGCTACGTAATATCATTGCGCCTGCTGCACCCATAGTACGGCAGCAAAGTTCCTTGATTATTACGCCAGAATGAGAGTATAGTTCCTAGTCATATTGGCCTAGAAAATCACAACTTTTCATTTTCCGTCGGTCTAAGTACATGATGTAACTACAGAAGAGTCAAGATTTAAATAGGAAAAATATAGAAACTCTTTGGTCATTTTTGAGAGAGATGCTAATGGTCTAATCAGATTCAATGATCTATGCTAAGCTAAGCTAAAAGTGCTACCGCCAGACCCGGAGAGCGGTTGAATGGATTCGAAAACGGTAAAATTCAACTGTTTAACTCCAGGGGAGTTGGAAAATGAGCCTATTTTCAAAAATAGTGGAGTGTTCCTTTAAGTCTCAACTTACCCGATTGAATCTAATCACTGGCTAAAGAGAAACAACTGACATATTAAAGTGATTTCTCTTTTCTGTAGACTTTGTTGACTGTATTTGTGTGTTGTTCAGGTATTTTTTCCCCTGTCAGCGCTGGTTGGCGGTTGATGAAGATGACGGGCAGCTGGGCCGTGAATTAGTGCCAGTAGACGAGGCTTTCATGAAGAGAGATGGAGATGAAGAAGAGGAGTCCTCGCCTGCTCAACTCGGACTAGAGCAAAAAGGTCTCTTGAATGTTACACAAGTGTTCTGCTTTAACCTAATGGCATTTGCTTATTACATTGATATTACATTGATCATGTCTGTGTGTAGCCATGTCAACCACATTCACAATGAGAGTAAAAACAGGGGAGAAGAAGAGCGCCGGGACAGATGCAAACGTTTATGCTATTCTTTACGGAACCAAAGACGACACTGGTAACTATGAAAACAATTCAGATTGTACTGTTAGTACTGTTAGCCTATCCGCTACTGAAAAGTGTTTTTGTGTGTGTCAGGTATCATTAATCTAAAGGCGTTTAAGAACCATTGGAACAAGTATGAGTTTGGACTGATTGATGAGTTCACCATTGAGGCAGTGGACATCGGAAAACTCAAGAGAATCCGCATCGGCCACGACAACGCAGGTACACACATTCACATCAGAGATCACTCTATAATGTTTCAAATCTTTATGCAAATATGTTGAATCTGCATTCTGTTGAACTGAACTCTGGTTGAGTTCAAATCTGTGCATTGATGATTGACGTGTGTGCGTGTGCTCGTCTGTGTGTTTACACTGTAACGGATCGCTGTTCTTTTTACAGCAAAAAACAAAAGTAATGTACATCCATTCCTATTAATGCTATTGTGATGCTATTTACAGATAGTATAAAGACATGAGTTATAAACTGTATTTGTACTCTAAAACATAATCGTAAAGATGTTTCTGATTCTGCTTATTTTTGGTTATTTTCGTATTTTAAAAATACTTAATTATAAAGTGAAAATCATCTATTATGCATAAAAAAGCACTAGTGTTCATTTGGGGTTGGTTAAAAACAAATGAATACTTTTATTTAGCAAGGATGGGTGAAATTGATCAAAAGTGATTGAAAAGACATTTATAATGTTACAAAAGATGTCTATTTCAAATAAATGCTATTATTTTTTATTTTTTTCTATTCATTAAAAAATCCTGAAAATAAATATTAGAATGATTTCTGAAGGATCATGTGACACTGAAGACTGGAGTAATGATCGTGAAAATTCAGCTTTGATCACAGGAATAAATAACATTTTACAGTATATTCAAATAGAAAACATTCATTTTAAATTGTAATAATATTTCACTATATTAATGTTTTTACTGCAGTCTTTGATGACTTCTCTCAAAAACATGACAAAAAAGTTCACTTGTTCTAAGTGAAAAACATAAAAGTTGTTAAAAAAATATGCAAGTTTAAATTGAAGTAATGTGCATGCATAAAGAAAATGAAGGTTCATTTATATCCATATGAATCTGCGTCAGTATCTTTGTCATTTATGCCTTTATGTCTTTTTTGCATTAAATTGTCACTTAATTTGTGATAATTTAATTTCTCTGGCTTTCTGAATCCAGCATTGGTGTAAATCCTACAGACAATTACCGTACTTACAGTGTACATGTGTGTATGTGGATGTTGCACGTGTCTCTGTGTGTGTATGTTTTGTGTATGTGTGTGTTTGGGGGGGGGTGTCCTGTTTTTCAGGTGTGTCTCCAGGCTGGTTTTTGGACTGGGTAGAGATCGATGCTCCGTCTCTGGGTCAGCTGCTGCTCTTTCCATGTGGCCGTTGGCTGGATAAAGGAAAAGACGATGGTGCCATTGTCAGAGACCTGTACCCTAATGAACTGCAGACAGTACTATACACACCCTGTATGATACATGTTTATGTAGCTAATTATAATGATTACAGACTAATACTAAACCTTATTTACTTCATGTTTTATAAATACAGACAGTTGAAAATTTGTGCCATAACACTCATAGACAGACCAACACAGGCTGTTCATGATTCATGTGATTTCCTCTTTTGTGCTGCAGTTGTTCCCTATGAGATTAAAATCTTCACCAGTGATATATTTGCTGCGGGAACGGACGCAGACGTCTTCATCGTTCTGTACGGGCAGAACGGAGTGTGTACATCTCAGAAGTCTCTCTGCGTCAACAAGAGAGAGAGGAGGATGTACTTTGAACGAGGGGCGGAGGACATGTTCATTGTAGAGGTAAATGAGCAGATCGTTTCTGTGCTGCTCAACATAAATATAAAACTAGGGTTGAAAGATGATGCTATTTGTCCTGCTTTATGTGCTGCGATTTGCTGGTAAAGTTTTGTTGCTGGACCAACAACAGACCAGTACAACTGGCATAAACCAGCCGGTGTTATTTTAGTATCACTGAGAAACCTTTATAGTTTTTACTGAAATTTGGAATCAAATTTTAATATTCTGTTTTCAGTTTAGTTTTAGTTCAAGTTTTTGTAATTTTGTCGTTGTTAGTAGTAGTAGTAGTACTAGTAATGTTTATATAGTTTTATTCATATTAGTATATCAAGTGAAACTAAACTAAAATGAGAAATGTTGCCTTGGTAACTAGTTAAAGTGCCCCTATTATGGATTTTTGGAAATGATCTTTCATGCAGTGTGTAACACAGCTCTAAGTGAATGAAAACATCCTGCAAAGTTTTAAATCTGAAAGTACACCGTTTATAAAGCTATTGTCTCTCAAAAGAAAGAGTCGACTCTGAATCATTGAAACGAGTCATTTTTAAAACGAATCCCAAGCTGAAACATTAGCATATTGCCCGCCCACTAGTTGGGCTTTTCCCATTGGTCTGAATGAAAATGCAAATTCATTCTTTGCCACTAGGTGCTGCTTTCGGAGCGGTAAAAATAGCGGTTTCCCCGGTAACTCTGTACACAAAGCAGTACTGCGCTCACAAACACTGCTTTATCAGGCATTACAGGCGAGATGAAATGAAAATGAGACCAATCGGACCAATCACCGCAGATTAGTGTCACGCAAAGGAGGGGTTTGGAAAAATGAATCGTTGAGCGAATCGTTTGGGAGCCATTGAGCAAGTAAGGTCAAAATAAATGCATATTATAAGACAATGAGTGTTTTTTGACCATGCATGCATGTCAACCTGTTGTTGGGGACTCCAAAAGCCAAAATATGAACCTTTCATTACCCATAATAGGGGCACTTTAAAATAAAGTTTTATTTCATTTAATGTTTATTTTATTTCAAGGAACATTTTTATGGTTTTAATTTTACTTTCAGTTTTATTTTTTATTTTTTAAACTAAAATAACCCTAAAACCAACCTGAACTAATAGAAATGAATCTGGGTCTTAGTTTCATCTTAACTTTTCTATTAATAATTTTAATGGAAGGCTTACACTGACGGCAGTGATGTTGATGTTAATTCTGGGCTTCTGCAGTTGGAGGACATTGGCGATATCATTGAGAAAATCCGTATCGGTCACGATAATCGAGGGGTGAACCCTGGCTGGCATTTAGACCGTGTGGAAACTCGCCGACTTCTCCGGAAAGGGAAGGTATTGAGCTTTATCTTACAGTACTTTACTGAACTTTATCTCTGTTAGAAGGAGATCAACTGCTTTTGTACAAATCTGCATATACTGTACAGTTAAACATGACAGACTTCTTGAAATGCAGTTGGGTTTGTCTAATCTCAGCCCAAAGCATTTTTGGAAAACTCTCAAGGGATCCAGAAATACATATCCTGCCAATTTCAGCCCCCTAAATGTCACTTAAAACGGCAAACTGTGGCTGATCCTTTCACATGTTGGTCAGACTGCCTTTCCTGCGTAAGTGCTCGTTTTTGGCCAGACTAAGCTACGCTTTGGACAAGATATATTGGACTTAATTCTGGCAACGTGAAACTTGGAGTCTAGAATGTTCCCGTCTGGCTGTGGAAAACCTTTTCCTCTCCGCTGTCTGTCGTACACCCATTTCATTGACCCACATCTGCTCTCTGTTGCCGTTTGTATAATTAGTTCCAGTGACTAATCTCCTCTGACCTATCGCTCCACTCCAGCGCTATCTGTGTACAGTAGAGGAGTGAAACGCATCACATCACACCAGCATGACACTCTGGTATCAACATTCACATCCACCGTTTACCAGCAGAAACTGTTTATTTACAGTACACTTTTTTTAAACAAATGAATACTTTAATTCAGCAAGGATGCATTAAATCGCTCAATAGTGACAGTAAAGACATTTATAATGGTACAGAAGATTTCTATTTCAAATAGGTGCTATTTTGACATTTCAATTCATTAATGAATCTTGAAAAAAATATATCATAGTTGCCACAAAAATATGAAGCAGCAAAACAGTTTTCAGCTTTGCTAAAAATATTTCTTGAGCAGCAAATCAGCTTATTAGAATGATTTCTAAAGGATCATGTGACACTGAAGACTGGAATAATGATGCTGAAAATTCAGCTTTGATCACAGGAATAAATGACATTTGAACATATATTACAATAGAAAGCAGCCATTTGAAATGGTCATGTTTCACAATTTTCATTGTATCTTTGTAGCAAATAATTATAAATGCAGAAATGGTGAGTGTAAGAGACTCTTTCAAATAAATCTTACCGATCTCAAACTTTTGAATGGTATAGTATATTACATACTTTCAGCCTTGACACGGCACGTGTGACAGATTTTGATATTTGATGGATTATTTTATGAATTGGCTGATTATTAGATGATTATTTTACTGAAATTTAAAACTAGCCTCCTCTACCCCATTTTTCTGCCCAGACTGGTCAGTTTACCACTAAACAGGTAGTCCTGTAGGATAAAGTACTGCAACAGTGAATAAATTACACATTTAAAGGGATAGTTCACCCAAAAATGAAAATTCTGTCATTAATTACTCGCCCTCATGTCGTTCCAAACCAGTAAGACCTTCCTTCACCATCGGAACACAAGTTAAGATATTTTCGATGGAATCCGAGAGCTCTCTGACACGATCAAGGTTCAGAGTGACGTAGTAAGGACATCGTTAAAATAGTCCATGTGACATCAGTGGTTCAACCGTAATTTTACGAAACTACGGGAATACGTTTTGTGCACAAAGAAAACAAAAATACTTTAGACTTTATTCAACAATTCGTCTCCTCCGCATCACCCTATAGTGCCATTTTGGAGCGTATCACATACGTAAACAACGTATGCTGTTCTGTGTCAGTTTACGTATGTGATACTCTCCAAAATGGCGCCAGGGTGACGCGGAGACGAGGAATTGTTGAATAAAGTCGTTATTTTTGTTTTCTTTGTGCACAAAAAGTATTCTCGTAGCTTCGTAAAACTTTCGGTTGAACCACTGATGTCACATGGTTTATTTGAACGATGTCCTTACTACATTTCTGAGCCTTGATCTTGTAAGGATCCTTGCTGTCTATGGTGGGTCAAGAGAGCTCTCGGAATTCATCGGAATATCTTAATTTGTGTTCCGAAAGTGAACGACGGTCTTATGGATTTGGAATGACATGAGGGTGAGTAATTAATAACAGAATTTTCATTTTTGGGTGAACCATTCCTTTAACCTTTGAATGAACACTTCATAGTATTATTAATAAAATTTCCTTTAAAGGGGTCATATGATGCTAAAAAGAACATTATTTGGTGTAATGAAATGTTTATGCGGTTTAAGGTTAAAAAAACACATTATTTTCTTCCACATACTGTATATTGTTTCTCCTCTATGCCCCGCCTTTCTGAAACTTGTCGATTTTTACAAATCTCATCGGTCTGAAAAGCGAGGTGTGCTGTGATTGGCCAGCTATCCAGTGCATTGTGATTGGCCGAATGCCTCAAGCATGTGATGGAAATGTTACGCCCCTTACCATATTGTGATGCCCTGTCCGGCCGGAGCATAACATAAAACCATATCTGCATTTGTGATCGGAGAAATGACAAACAACAAGTGCTACTCTACACTGCCCAAAAAAACTTGCGTTAGAATCATCAGTGGCAAATTCTTTAAATATAAAAAATGTACTTACAGTCTGTGAGTCAGAACAGCCGGCATTGTAGTCTACTCTACCAGGATCAGGAAACAGTCCTCCATAAAATGTGCTGCACACATCTGAATATTTGTGTTGAACTGTTCTGGAACAGTGTTGTAAATACAACTTAACCACTGATTTCTAGTCGTGTCCTCTTTTGGAAGGCCAAACAAAGTAGTTTCACTTTCACAACGAAAATGCGTCACACACCGTGGGCTTGAATGAGCGGCGGCCTAGAGTGAGCGGAGGCCGGCTTGAGTGAGCAGAGGTGGGCGGGCTTGAGAACGGTGGCGGCCGGCCGGTTCAACGAAGGAGCGTCCGGCGGGCTTGCGGCAACCACATGTGACGACCCCGGGCTGGACTCCGCTTCATCCACAGTGAAAGCCGATCCAGCGATCCACAGTGCGAAGTCGATGTATTTCCTCAGCGACCAGCACGGATCAGCTCTAGGCATGACGAAGCGGATATCGTCCTCTTTTGGAAGGCCAACCAAAGTAGTTTCACTTTCACAACGAAACAGCGCCTTCACGGCATGGCGGCGGCGGCAACAACAATACTACAGCGAGAATAAAAGTTACGCCTTCTTTCTTTGCGTGAACATTTCATTTGGGCGGCATTATGCTAATATTTCCACATAGTGACGTAGATATGTGGGGGCGTGTTAGAACGAGCCGTTTTAGGTAGGCGTGGTTGACTCTTAACTTTTATAAAGAACATCTCTTTGGATTTGAGACTTTAGTCTTTGCAACTTTACAGATCTTCTTTATGCACCAAGAGCTTGTAACACTCCAAAGAGAAAGGAAAAATTGAAATCGCATCATATCATGACCCCTTTAATAAAATGTAAAGGACTAATATTCAACATGTCAAGACTCAAAAATGCATGTTCATGCAGGGCTCTGAGACTGCAATATTCCCGTTTGAGGGATGGTTGGCTCGCTCGGAGGAGGACGGTGAGACGATTCGAGAGCTAGTACCGTCTGACATCATCGTAGAGAAACTTTCACGAGACGGAACCCTCAAAGCCATTGAGACAGAGGTGGATGACGCACTGGAGAGTAAGTGTGTGGACAGTTTTCCATTTAGAATTACCTGTATGTACTATATTTATGCATTCGACAGACTCCTAGTTTTATGCAAATGACTGCATTCAAACTATGCATTTTTGTGTGTTGCAGTTCACACATATACAGTGACGGTGACCACGGGGGATGTGTATGGAGCGGGAACCGATGCCAACGTGTTCATCACTCTTTACGGAGACATGGGCGACACTGGAGAACGCAAACTCAGCAAGTCTGAGAACAGCAATAAGTTTGAGAGAGGATCGGTGAGACACAAATACACGTCTTTATGAGGACATCATCCTAATACTTCTTAATTTTGGATTCATTTTAGGTGAAAATTGAACCTATATGAAGCTGTTGTGGCAATGTCCTCATAAGGCTTGTCAGGTTTTACTATCCTTTGTCTTCAGACATTTTGACACCATTAAAACAAAGACGATTTAAAACAACCATTCAGAGTTTGGGCTCTGTAAGATTTTAAAAATGTTTTTGAAAGAAGTCTCTTCTGCTCACAAAGGCTGCATTTATTTGATCAAAAATACAGTAAAAATTATGAAACATTATTACAATTTAAATGAACTTTTTTCTATTTTAATATATATTAAAATGTAATTTATTCCTGTGTTCAAACGGAATTTTCAGCATCATTACGTCAGTGTCACATGATCCTTCTGAAATCATTCTAGTGTTGATTTGCTGCTCAAGAAACATTCCACAGCGCTAAGTCGATGTATTTCCTCAGCGACCAGCACGGATCAGCTCTAGGCATGACGAAGCGGATATCGTCCTCTTTTGGAAGGCCAACCAAAGTAGTTTCACTTTCACAACGAAACAGCGCCTTCACGGCATGGCGGCGGCGGCAACAACAATACTACAGCGAGAATAAAAGTTACGCCTTCTTTCTTTGCGTGAACATTTGGGTGGCGTTATGCAAATCTTCCCACATAGTGACGTAGATATGTGGGGGCGTGTTAGAACGAGCCGTTTTAGGTAGGCGTGGTTGACTCTTAACTTTTATAAAGAACATCTCTTTGGATTTGAGACTTTAGTCTTTGCAACTTTACAGATCTTCTTTATGCACCAAGAGCTTGTAACGCTCCAAAGAGAAAGGAAAAATTGAAATCGCATCATATCATGACCCCTTTAATAAAATGTAAAGGACTAATATTCAACATGTCAAGACTCAAAAATGCATGTTCATGCAGGGCTCTGAGACTGCAATATTCCCGTTTGAGGGATGGTTGGCTCGCTCGGAGGAGGACGGTGAGACGATTCGAGAGCTAGTACCGTCTGACATCATCGTAGAGAAACTTTCACGAGACGGAACCCTCAAAGCCATTGAGACAGAGGTGGATGACGCACTGGAGAGTAAGTGTGTGGACAGTTTTCCATTTAGAATTACCTGTATGTACTATATTTATGCATTCGACAGACTCCTAGTTTTATGCAAATGACTGCATTCAAACTATGCATTTTTGTGTGTTGCAGTTCACACATATACAGTGACGGTGACCACGGGGGATGTGTATGGAGCGGGAACCGATGCCAACGTGTTCATCACTCTTTACGGAGACATGGGCGACACTGGAGAACGCAAACTCAGCAAGTCTGAGAACAGCAATAAGTTTGAGAGAGGATCGGTGAGACACAAATACACGTCTTTATGAGGACATCATCCTAATACTTCTTAATTTTGGATTCATTTTAGGTGAAAATTGAACCTATATGAAGCTGTTGTGGCAATGTCCTCATAAGGCTTGTCAGGTTTTACTATCCTTTGTCTTCAGACATTTTGACACCATTAAAATAAAGACGATTTAAAACAACCATTCAGAGTTTGGGCTCTGTAAGATTTTAAAAATGTTTTTGAAAGAAGTCTCTTCTGCTCACAAAGGCTGCATTTATTTGATCAAAAATACAGTAAAAATTATGAAACATTATTACAATTTAAATGAACTTTTTTCTATTTTAATATATATTAAAATGTAATTTATTCCTGTGTTCAAACGGAATTTTCAGCATCATTACGTCAGTGTCACATGATCCTTCTGAAATCATTCTAGTGTTGATTTGCTGCTCAAGAAACATTTCTTGTTGTTATCAATGTTGAAAATAGTTTTTTTTTAACACCATAAATGTCTTTACTGATCATCACTTTTTAATGCACCTTTGCGAAATAAAATTATTACTGACACCAAACATTTCAACAGTAGTGGGCCTGCCCTCTGATTGGCTGCTGACAACAACTGCTTCTGATTGGTCAGGTGGACACATTCACCCTGGAGGCTGTGGATCTGGGCCAGGTGTTCAAGATCCGCGTTCGCCATGACAACAGGATGCTGAGTGCTGATTGGTACCTGGAACAGGTGGAAGTGGTGGACCAAGATACGGAGGAAGTGTTTCTGTTTTTGTGCGAGCGATGGCTTTCGAGAAAGAAGGAGGACAAACGGATCGACAGGGTGTTCTACGTTAAGGTCTGCCTGCATGTGTGCATGTGTGCACCTGTGCATGCATGCGTTAACAATGTTACAGTGTCACAGACTAGTCCAGAGCACATCCAGATGTATGTACTGTGTGTATATGTGTGTGTGTAGGGGTATGAGGGAGAGCGAGAGACTGCCTTCTGTCCAATTAAAAAAGTGACAAATCTGGACAGCAACATGAACAAGAAAAACAAGAAACGGCATTCAGAGGAAGAAGAAGACGAGGAAGGATCATGTATGTATAAGCATATAGAGTCCCACTCCACAACATACAGTGGGCTTCAAAGGTCTGAGACTATCAATTGTTCTATTTTGGATTTTTATATGATTTACTAGAATATTTTCATTACAAATTATATGGTGCAATCTTTTTCCCCCAAATTTGTACAAATGTAAATATTATTCATTTAACATGTCAACTTATCATATTGTTTAAATATTTAATTTAATTTAATTTAATTTAATTTAATTTAAAGCCCTGGCAACCACCCACCCTTATGATATTTCAAATTATAATATTGTTAAAATATTTAATTTAATTTAATTTAAAGCTCTGGCAACACCCTTGCATCGTGAACGTTTTTTCATGAGTAAACACCACTATTCTCTAGTTGAATTTAATATGAGGGGAAAACTTTAATGTTGTGTGTGTGTGTGTGTGTATAGTGATTCCCTACCACTTCTCGGTGGCGACGGGTTGGGATTGGGATGCTGGGACGAGTAGCCGAGTGTATGTCATCATCATAGGAAAGAAGAACAAAAAGACAGATCGCCTCTGGCTCGACTTGGATGGGAAAAACGGATTCCTGCCTGGATCCTTGGATTACTTCATCTGTTACGGAACTGATGTTGGGGACATCAAGAAAGTGGAAGTGAGAGAAAACACACACACAGATTCAGTAGTTTGCATTCGTAAGCAGACGTCAGATTGTTGGTTTGTGTTGTGTGTAGTTGGGTCATGATGGGGCGACTCCAGAGAGCTGCTGGTTAGTAGAGGAGTTGACTGTTGACGTGCCGACTAAAGCAGTGCGTTTCGTGTTTCCCTGTAAATGCTGGTTGGCCAAAGACAGAGGAGACGGACTCACCGCTTGTTTCTTAGATGTAAAGGATGCCGAAACTGTCAGCATCCCACAGAAGGTACACCGTTCCATTTCATTCAGCCTTAAAAATATAAATAGCTCATGTAAGGTGTTTACTTCCCATGTTTATTCTTTATTTTATTAAATATTATTATTTTATTACAGTATATACTGTACTATTCAAAAGTGAAGGGTTGGTATGATTTTTAAAAAGAAAAGTTTTAAATAAACCTCTTCTGCTCACCACGGCTGCATTTATTTGATCATTACTCCAGTCTTCAGTGTCACATGATCCTTCAGAAATCATTCTAATATGCTGATTTGCTGCTGTATACTACAGTAAGTGTACTTCATGAAAGATATTTTTCTTCTAGATGATCTATGAGGTAACAGTGATAACAGGAGATGTCCAGCACGCAGGTACAGACACACAGATCTACATGACTGTGTTTGGAGTCTACGGCACGTCAGAGGAAATGCTGCTGCCAAAATTAGAGGACAGGTGCTTATGCACACACACACACACACACACACACACACACAGAAACACAAGGATAATGTACAGACAGCTGGTGATTATTGCAAGATAAATGTAATGTTGTTTTGCAAAAATATTGATTTGAGTTGAAAAATATAAGAATAAAATTAGAATGCAACTATTAGCAAATAGGTTACCTGCAGTGTTCTTTTATTGACAATCATATACCACTATAGATTTTGTTAATATTTTGGATTAGACTTTATTTATTTATCTTTTCTGTTTTCACTTTAATTTGAGTTAGGTTTAGTAATTTTGTTGTTTGTTTTTATTCATTTTTAAAATGCCTAGTTTTATTTTGTATTCATTTAGTTAAGTACAAGTGCTACATCTAAACTTACAGTAAATAGCTGTATTATATTATTTCAGTTAATATTTCATTTCAAGTAACTAAATTTTTTATGGTTTTAGTTTTAGTTAACTATAACAACCCTGGTTACCTGGGACCACAGTCTCTTAAAAATGATGATTATGCATATTTTCCCATGTCTCATTTTTGTGTTTAATGTGTGAAGATTTGAACGAGGGCAGAAGGACACATTCAATCTGGAGATTGAGGATATCGCTCCTTTGAGAAAGATGAGAGTGCGTATAGATGGTTCTGGAAGCAGACCCGACTGGTTCCTGGATATGGTTTGTAAGAGAAAGTGACATATACTGTAATTTCGCAAGCCTTTAAAAATATTAATGCGTGTATGTATGTACTGTAGATTGAACTGCATAACCTGCAGACGGACGAAGTGGCGTTATTTATGTACGAGGAATGGCTGTCTCGCTCATACGGGCCCAAGCGAACGCTCCTCTGCGAGATGCCTGCAGTAATAAATGACGAGGAAATGGTGGAGTTCACCACCTACACCGTTTCTGTGAAGACCAGCGATATATCTGGTGCGCACTTCTTTGTAGTGTCTACAACTACTTAAAAGCAATTCTTCGATTGGTTGTGTTTATGGTCACAGATACAGCAGAGTGTAACCTATGATTGGTTGCTTTTTAGCGGCTGGAACCGATGCTAATGTGTGGATGATTATTTTCGGAGAGAACGGTGACACTGGAACGCTGACTCTGAAAGAAAGCAACAACACCAACAAGTTTGAGCGCAAACAGACAGACACGTTCCGTTTCCCTGACATCCTCAGCTTGGGCGAGCTCTCGAAAGTGCGCATTTGGCACGACAACTCAGGTGAGCCAATCAAAGTGCTCAGAACAACACTCGTGATGAGCAGATTAGGAAGTTAAACTCAAGCTAGGCCTGTCATCAAACCTGTATATGTTTATATGCTCAAAACACAAGTGCGTGTTTGTGTTGACAGGTCTGGCTGCCGGTTGGCACCTGGAGTATGTAGACGTGCATGATGACATCTTGGGGAAGAAGTTTCGTTTCCAGTGTGACCGCTGGCTCGCCAAGAACGAGGATGATGGACAGATAATGAGAGAGCTGGCGTGTGCCAACAGCGATGCAGTGGATTTTGATGATAAAACCAGTGAGACACACAAGAGTTCACACACACACATACAAATGGAGTGAAGTAAAAACAGTTCAATTTGACAGAATTCAGTTGGAGTTCATAACTCGCCCATTTGCAACCCATTTTACTTCCATAATGGGACATATTTCCAAGTGAAACAGAATATTAAGTGGGAACTGAATGGATGGAAAAGTGTCTCTGTATAACGGGATTGAAGGGAATGACATTATTTCTTTGGAATAACATGCACAGATGAATCATTCGCTAAAAGATCATTAACGTGTATTGAAAGCTACATTTAAAGTACTTAATTGTTGAATGAATGAATTGCAAATAATTCTGTTTTATTTTATCTGGAAATAATTGTAAACCGTTTCTTAGTCTTATATTTATATATTTTTATCAATTTGATAATTTATTTGATCATTTATATATATATATATATATATATATATATATATATAATATATATATACATACATTAAATAAATTATCAAATTGATAAATATAAGACTAAGAATCTGTTTTCAACTTTGATAATAATAAGAACCATTATTAATTAGAATTATTACTTAATTATTAATTAATGACACTGGAGTAATGGCTGCTGAAAATTCAGCTTTGATCACAGGAATAAAATACATTTTAAAATATATTACAGTAGAAAACAGTTATTTTAAATTGCAATAATATTTTACAATATTACTGTTTTTATTGTGTTTTAAAACAATTAAAGGCAGCCTTGGTGTGCAGAAAAGTCTTCCAAAACAATAAAACAATCGTAATTATTTGCATATGTAAATTTGAAATTCTAATATATATATATATATGCATATGTATTCGATTTTAGATAATATAACAGCATGTGTTTCGCCTCATACAGAATATGAAATCTTGGTCACGACAGCAGATATGGATGATGCTGAAACCAAAGAGAACGCCTGGATCGTTCTAGAAGGGAAGAAAGGACGTTCCAAAGAGTTTGTGTTGGAGAACTCGACTAAAAAGAAGCGTTTTTTGCGGTAGGTGTACATTTGTTTCTCAGCTGGTATTCAGTTCTACTTGGTTAGCATGTGTTACGCTGCTCCATGTGTGATTTCAGAGGCGCTAAGGACCGCTTTGAGTTCTCCTCCAAGGAGCTGGGAGACATCGCTAGTATCTGTCTGGGACACATCCCTAAAGATGGCAAGAAAGTCAAAGTGGAAGCCTCCTGGTTTGTGGAGGAGGTTGTTGTCACGGAGAAGGAGCTGGGCAATAAGTGAGTGATCTTGGACTTTGAAGAGACTCAAAAATGTAATCATTTACTCACCCTCAAGCTTTTCTAAACCTGTATGAGCTTTTTTTCCCCCCTGCTGTACACAAAAGAAGATATTTTGAAGAATGCTGGTAACTAAACAGTTACTGGTAGCCATTGACTTCCACAGTATGGAAAAAATGGCTACCAGCCATTAAGTTATGGTTTAAACCTCAGGATCTGGACTACTGAGGCTAGTATAGGCCTGCTCTGTATTATCCATAATCTGTCCTATTTCACTCAGGTATATCTTCCGTTGTGACGCCGCCATCCCTCTTTCCTCAAAACGGGATGAGTTCCAAACTTTCGAGTGCAGCAAGTTCATCGAGAGCTTCACCAGCAAGGCCCAAAGCCTCGTACCTGTAAAATACGAGCTCATCGTTATCACGGGCGACGAGAAGGGCGCAGGCACAGACGCCAACGTCTTCATCACCATCTTCGGCTCCAACGGCGACTCCGGCCAGAGGCAGCTTACCAAGAAGTTCCAGAACCTGTTTGAGCGCGGCCAGACGAACCGGTTTATTCTGGAACTGCTGGGCCTGGGCGATCTGCTCCGCATACACGTGGAACACGATAACTCTGGACTCAGTCCCGGATGGCTTCTGAGCAGGATCGAGATTACAAACACGACCAACGCTGTGACCACAATCTTCATTTGTGGGAAATGGCTGGACAAAAACAAAGCGGACGGGAGGATAAAGCGCGTGATCTATCCAAAGTATTGACATTTAGTCAACCAGTCAATGGTCCAGTCAGTATTACTAATGAATATTCATTACACGACATGGTCATATCAACGATCCTTTGATTGTTTACACACTAATGTCGTACCACACCTGTATGACTTTGTGAAACACAAAAGAAGATCTCAGTGTTTTTTGTCTATACTGTTGACAGCCAATGGGATCCGATGTTGTTTGGACCAAAACAATATCTTCTTTTGTGTTCAACAATAGAAAGAAAGCCATACAGGTTTGGATGTCCATTTTTGGGTGAATTATCCCTTTATAGATGAGGTAACCTCTTTGATGTTTTCCAGCCACAGCTATAAGTAAATCATGACTAAGCTGATGGTTGTAAGCTATACCTGCGTTTCATTCAGATCAGAAAGTCTTATTCCTATTTCGAAAGAATACCAACTTAAAGTCTGAATTATTGTATTTTTGCCATTCGTTTGGTCCCTAATGGATTAGAAATTACATACTTCACCATTAAATTGTAATGAAATTTCATTAAGAGATCCCTTAATGTTGTTGCTAAGAAAACTCATAATTATACATGGAAAAAAGTTTAGTCACATACATTTGAGAAATTTCACAGGGAAAAAAACCCAGCGTCTTGTCAATAGTGTGGAGACGCATGAACTGGAACACATGAACACGATTGCTTGGATTCCTATTGAAATTACTGCATTTTGATCGCAGAAATTGGCCGAACAAAATTAAATGCGACTGAACCTATGTGAGTTTCTTTTTTCTGCTGAACACAGGAGATGTTTTGAAGAATGTTAGTAAGTAGCAATTGACTTTCATAGTATTTTTTTGTCCATAATATGGAAGCCAATGGCTACCATCAACTGTTTGGTTACCAGCATTCCTCAAAATATCTTCTTTTGTGTTCAACAGAAGAAAGAAACCGGTTTGGAACGACAATGATGAGAGAATTTGCATTTTTGGGTGAACTATCCCTTCAAGTTAAAGGTGCAGTTGCATTTACTGTTGTTTAACAAATTTATTGACTATAGACTGGATCTTTTTTGTATGCAGAATTTGGCCAGTGTGATGCAGGGGTTTGTTGCAACTCACTGTTTATCCTGAAGCTGTTGAGAGCATGTCTGCTAATACTGATATTTGGGTTGATTTTTTTTCCCACTGATGTGAATGGCAGCTGATTTTTTCATGTCATCTCAAGAACAATTTGAGCAGGTGAATGTAAGAGTGGTTGAAGGAGTAACTGGCCAATCAAATCCACTCGCATTCGGACCACATGCATCACTCGGATTGTAATCACAGGATTTTGGTTTCATGAACATCCAGCCTGCTTGAGCTTCACCTCAGCTCTTCTCAAATCATTCAGAAGACTTTGGAAACCGTTGAAATGGAACAGTCCAGTCTTTCTCCCATCTTCCAGAGTGCCACCTCACCAGCATGCCTCTGAAGAGTTTGTATGATTTGATGGATGTGTGAAAGAAGTTTTATTTGTATTTATAAACATTATTATTTTGTACATATTGTTACCTCTGTGAGGAGTGCATGTGTGTGCAACAAGGTTTGTGGAGTAAAACTCAACCCTGAATCCACTTTTGATCGTCTTTTAATATATTTACGCATTTAAGAATAATAGTATATAAAAACCTTACTGACTCCAAATGTTTGAATGGTAGTGTATATATAAAAAAATTTGTATCAGGAATAAACCACTCAAATGTAATTTTTAATGGCACAAGAAGATACAAACAGAACCAAATTCATCATAGTGCATTGACACCTGGAAGTTGAAGTGCTCTGTGTGTGTTTAAGTGCTGTAAACTGTCTAAAGAGCTTTTGGTCACATTTGATCTGCATTCAACAGAAAAACAAACCTTTGACAGTAGGAACAATGGAACTCTTACTGATGTATGTGTATAAATGTGTATGTCAGTCGGCTCCCTCTGTGGTGACTGAAGACACAGCGTTGACGTAATAGGGTCCCTCGTTCAGGTAGGTCTTCAGCTTTAAGTAATTGTGTGCTTTAAAGATCTCCTGAGCACTGGAGGAGCTCAGCAGCGCCCCCACCAGCTCAAACTTACAATCTTTGGCTTCTTTTCCCATCCCCACTGAGCGATCCATCACCCACTCCATGAATCCAGGAGTGTCCATCATCAGCTGCTGAGCCCACGGCTGACAGCCAATGGCCTGGACACAAAACAGAGGACAAAACAGCTGAAACATGCATTTAAAGAGATCAACACACACACAAAGCATCGTTCGACTTCAGCTGGATTTAACAAACCAGAGAGATTTACTGCTTGCAGTCGAGGGAGGAGTTGAAAATGATGGAAGCTTATTTACTCCATGGAATAAACAAACAAAAAAGTTAAATATGACTTCTTTAAAATCTCAATTCGGGCTTTTTCCCCTCGCAATTCAGAATTTCTTTTAGAATAGTGAGAAAGGTCTGAATTGTGAGACATAAGCTTAGAAATGTGAGGGGAAAAAAGTAAGAAACTCAGAATTGGGAGATTAAAAACTCAGAATTATGAGAAAAGTCAGATTTGAGAGACTCAAAATTGTGAGGGGAAAAAAGGCAAAGAGAGAAAAAAAAGAGAAAGTCAAAAGTACTGTCAAATGTAAACTTAAAATTGCAAATAAAAAGTTCGAATTGCGAAAAAACATTTGTGGAAAAAAAAAAAAGCAAGAATAAGATGAGATAGAAACTCGGAATTGTGACAAAAATCGGAATTGTAAGATATGTGAGAAAAAAGTTAGAATTGTGATATATAAACTCCAAAAATAATTCCAAAACAAAATGTACATTTCCAAATTGTGAAATGTAAACGTGAGAAAAAAGTTTGAACTGTGAGAAAAGATAATATAAATAAATATATAAATTCAGAATTGTGAAAGATAAAAACTTGAATTGTGACAAAACCTGAGAAATGTCAGAAAAAGTTAGAATTTTGAGATAAAAAGTTGCAATCAGTTTTTTTTTATTCCATGGCAGAAATAAGCTTCCATAGAAAACAAAGTTGGATGTTTTTCATTTAATACGTTATGTATTACTTAATACAGCACCTGTATGAACAAGAATAAAGTTCAACATAAGCCTTAACTGTTTAAATACCAATAATGTTGGGTCTACATTTCTATTTCTTTCTAAATTTTTATAGTTTTATTTTGTATGTACAATGTACATACAATATATGCTGGTGACATTTCAAGACAAAATTTGTACAGGTTTGTACAGCACCGCATGAAGTCGAACACACACACACACACACACACTCCTTCTTACAGTGAAGATTCGTAGCGCTCTGCAGTGGAGCTCTGGGAAGGGCTGTGTGCTTATGTTTCGGATCATCAGGATGGGCTGAGAGCTCAGACGGTTAAACCACGACTCGGTCAACAGTAACAGGTCATCCGTCTGCTGCTCCGCCTACACAAACCACAGACATCTCACAGCAAAACCCATCATCTGAAAACAATTCCTCTGAAAATACACAGCGACACACTCACAGGTAACGTGAGCAGCTGAGCCAGAGCCTCCAAACATCTGATCCGGAGTTCAGTGTCTCCATCAGCGGCCACTTTACTCATTCTCTTCAGCGCAGACGTCAACTTCTCTCCTGTAACAGACGGCTGAGTGAGACACAGTTCAAAAACCAAGTCAAGCAGCCCTGTAACTATTAGGGCTAAGTATACTGATTCATTCGGGTTATTCTATTAAGCTAGTAATTTGATTCAAATCAGATTCTGACATGGTTTGATTCAATTTTAAACAACTGTTAAATTCTATTAAAATTATTGTAAAATTATAAATGGAAAACTTTAGTAGTAAACGCCCATGAAAGAGTATAGAGAGTTTGCGTCAATAAAGAGTCTTTCTGAATGATTCATTAAGAGGATTCATAAGAGTCATTTGTCTGCGAATCAAACTACACTTGCCGTGCTGTACTGTACATTATTGCATGCCATAACTTCACTGAACTAACAGGTTTTATTAAAAGCAGATCTGAAACATAAACAGCCCTCATTTTGAATGGTGTATTATGCAGATGCGTTCACAAACACAGCTACCTGTTTTCTGCAGAACTTGTTTTCCCTCCACTGTGCTGCCAAGCACTCCGAGAGTATCCAGGGCAACAGGAGTCAATGTGGGGTCAAGGTTAATCACCATGGAGAAGACCACCTCAAGGAACACTGGGTACTTCTCACAAACCTGCTGAGGACTCTCCATGATCGCCAGACTGCCAAAGAACTTCACCAGTCCTATCAAAATAATAGTAATAATAAAAACAGAGAAGAAAAAAAAGAATACTTACAGCAATGTAACAATTTGACATTTCCAATGATATAAGGATTTAAAAATTAGTAAGATAGACAGACGGACGGACAGATAGATGGATGGATAGATAGATTCATACACTCACATTCATACACTCACCTGGCAGGTAAAGGCTTGAGAAGGGGTCGGATTCTGCAGCGATGATCATGTTGGAGATTTTATCCATGATGCCCTGCTGTGCCAGATACTGACGGCCATGTTGACTCTGAGCCAGACTGGTCACCATCTCTATAGCAGTTGCTCTGGGAAGAGCAGAAAATAAGTTAATCTCTGTAGGCATAAAAGTGTTTTATATTGCATTATCATATTATGATTGTGTGTGTGAGATCCTTACCTGACCAACACATCGTCTCCGGTCAGTTCCTCCAGCATCTGTGAGATTAAACCGCTGTTGGCGCAGTAGCCCAGAGACACTGGAGACACTGTGGACAACTCCACTATCAACTGCGCACACACACACACAACACGATTAGGCTTAAATCCATCATAAAGATCCCTCCTTCCATCCATAGATGATCACAAACCTCATAAACTCTGTATCTGATGATGTCACTGGTGAGCATCACATCCTTCAGCTTGTTTAGCAAATCAGAGCGGAACAGAGCATCAAGCCCCGCCTTCGTGTTGCTGAGTTTACTGAGGGCAGCTATCGCCTGACCAAAAACACAACAAAGCCAAATTAAAGGAAAAACACAATCTTTAATGCATTCCATGCAAGAAAAGCCAGCGGTGTTGCAGTGCAGCGTAGGTCTCAGTACCTCTTTGGCCACAGCGATACGCTCGACGCTGATGCACTGAATCACATCACGCAGGATCTCTGCACTGTTCAGCATCTGGGTCACTCCATCAGCGTGTCCAGCCACACGGCCGATCTGAAACACAAAAACACTTGTGGCTCCAAGGCTGCTGAAGACGTGGACAGAGACTTCTGCGCTCTATAGTGCACCTTCAGCACTGACCTGTGTGAGCGTGAGCACTTTGACCGAGTCGTTCGGATGATTCAGTCCGCTCTGGAGCGCCGTCTTGTAGTTCTGAGCCAGCTGGATGGGCTCTAGAGCCTGCAGGACACGACTCAGGATTTCCACACACACCTCGATCTGCTCTCTGCACCAAAACACTCCATTTAGTTTTGCATGACATGTTTCACACTTTCTCTATTCTCAGCTTAATTTTTGAAGGAATATTCCTGAACCTAATTAATGCACACACACACACACACACACACACACACACACACACAATAAAATCTATGATGCATTTGTACAGCCGCAGTCCTATT